TTTTTACTTGACATAAGAAAAAGGATATTATTGGTAAGCACTATTATTTGCAACAGACAATACTAATTTCTTCAGCATTACCAAAACCATCTTGATGATCAAACTTGATGGCCAGGCCACTGAGCCCTGTTATCATGTCCAGGATTCTAGTGTCATAGATATTGCATTTATAGAACCAGGTCTGTACCATGAAGTGTTTAAATGAATGGCTTATGCATCATACCTCAATCCTACAATTTTTGGTGTGAAGACGAAAATTTATCAGTATAAATTAATTGAACTTGATTCTACAAGACAAATGGGTACTTACAGTGCAACCCTTAATTCTCAGAAGCTCCAGCTTGCAACTTGGTGACAGAAATTCTTTAATGCTCTGATCAGTGACATAGAAGCACCAACTTACATCTAACTCTGTTAAGCCACAAGACTGCTTGGCTACAACACCAATACTCTTATCAGTCACACCATAACAGCTGCTGACATGAAGTTCCCGAAGAGCAGAACATCTTTCACTCAAAGCAATGACACCAGCATCTGAGATCTAAAAAATTACAGTATGAAGAAACTAGAGATTTCCTTTAGCCACAAAACATTACCCTGAAGATGCCTCCCCATAACTATAATAGAATTTCTTACAGTTGCTAATTTTACTGCTAAAACTAACCCTTTAACTCCCATGAGTGACCAAGACAGAATTTCTCCCCACAAAATCAGTAGACAAGTGATGATAATGAAGAAAGGGATAATTAGTTGATCCAATACCAAATTTCCAAACATCATGAGAATTTTAAGGAACACTAAGAATTATTAATGAAGAATTACTACTGGGAGTGAATGGGTTAAATTATGCTGAATCCAAATGATAGTTAACTAAAGGCTTGGTGACCAGGTGACATTCCAATATTGATAATTATAGGAATGACAAGCAGAAGGGGACCTATGATGATATTGCAGTTCTTTGTTTGGGATGAAACATGTTAAAATTGCTTCTTGAGTATTAAGACAGGAAAGTTAAGTGTATTATTGTTATGTGTTGTAACATATAATTCAACAGCTGAAGACAACTGGCAAACAGCTTACTAACACAATTAGTATTAAGTCACTCATCTACCGTAAAACAGCTACTGAGATCCAGCTCTGTTAATTCCTTACAGTGCCTTGCTAATGCTTCGAGTCCAGCATCAGTGACTCCTTTACACTTGCTTGTTGTAAGAACAGACAGCTTCTTACATTTCTTGGCAATCAAAAACAAGTTCTCTTCTGTCACACACGGCCAGCACGAATCAAGATGAAGAACTCGGAGATTGCTGGTATACATGAGCAAATGCTTCAATCCCTGTTCGGTCAGAATTGATTCATAAGGTACAAAATCCAGGCGAAGTGCGCTTCTAAGGTACTCATTCACTTGATCCTTCCATTTTCGAGAAAGTTTTCTACAATGACAGAGGGTTACCACATCTAACAGTCCAAGAATCTTGAAGGTAATCTCAGTAGGGAAAATCTGAGGTGGATCTAGCCCTGATAAGCTTCTTTCCTTTGCATCCATTACTTACATGACATTAAAGAAAAATAATATAATCCTGACAGGCTCGATGGTATTTTTAATTGTCTCCTAAAGAAATAAGCTGCTTTTATTTGAGGATGCATTTGACTTGAAAACTTCAGAGGCCATATGGAAAAGAACCACTTGTGATGTTATATTTTCTGTTCCACTCTTAGCTCACATCTCCGAAATTGTCGTCCTTGCTGTACTGCAAACAAAACAACACTGAAAGGACGAAATTCGTTTTGCAAACGTTAGAGTCAGGCTCTTCTCAGAAACGGTGAGGACACTGGGTCCCACCACAGCCCAACCACAGTATGTGTTCGTGGTTAATTATTGTTGACATGAGACGAACAAAATGTACGAGGGCTATGAAAAAAGCTCTGAAAATTGTGTATCTATATTAAATCTTGGCATGAATATCTCATTAAGTTAAATGAAATGTTAGTCGACTCATTTGTGGTATTTTCGAGTGTATTTTTGAGTGTGGTTTGCCTGTGGAAAAGGCCTGGAACTTTTGTCCCCTTCTTCTCTTAACGGCCACCGGCCAAAAGTAATTTCGTAAGAAGACGCTTCAAACGGCCCATGAAGGCGAAAAAAGACGACAAGTGAGTCGACTAACATTCCATTTAACTTCATAGAGATATTCATACCAAGATTTTATTTAGATATGCTATTTTCATAGCTTTATTCATAACCTTCGTTGATTTTTTTCGCCTCACGTCAACAATAATTAACCACGATCACAAAGTGTGGTCAGCCTGTGATTACACCTTCCCTGTTCCAAGGGGCGAAATGTGGGTCGTAGTTTCCCAGTTGTAAGAGATAGTCTTATGTTTATTTTCCCTTTTTTCTGAAATTGTTAGGCCAAGTCTCACAGAATCCCAAGATGTTAAAGATTTGTCCAATCTCTGACAATGATGAGGAGGTAAAAACCCTTGACTAGAGCAGACCGACTACTTCATCGACTATTCAGCTTATCAGACAGCTTGACACCCACCCACCCCCTCCTTACACTTTTGTCGTTAGAATCATCAGGTAAAGAAATTATCTAGTCTAAAACCATCGACTGACGAGGCCACTGGTCCTGAGTTTCATGTCTTTAATGGTTGGTGATACTGTCATGTATAGACCATAACTGATTAAGCGATGTTCAAGAATGGTTTTCCTATTGCTACAAATAAGTATAGACTAACATTCCTCCATATCTCAGGAAAGACCAAGGAGGTTGTTGTCAGTAACTCGTAAAACAATTTCATAGAGTCCCAAGGCCCGTTAGTCAGAAGAAGTGAGGCTTAAAAATTATTTAGTGGACTTCTTTCAGTGTACTTCACTTCAAGTCACATAAAAAGGTGCTTTGGACCATTTCCTGTGAAAAGCATTTGGCGCTGTGAACCATAACATCTCTCCAGTAAACCTAAAGGTTGGAGATGAACTTTATTCGCATGTCTCAAGATGGAGTCACTTTGGATTTTGATCGCGACGTTTCGACTGCAATACTGCCAACATCTCAACAACATCAATAGGGGTAGTGGAATCGAAATTCCCGAAGCTGCGATACCCACGATCAAACAACACAACAGTCAATCAATGAGGACCTATGAGGGAACATCATCTAACGATAGGAATAATAATGAACATCGAAATGCACCAATAGCAGCGAACCAACGTGCTAAAAATAGCGACACGTAAACAATCGATCTCATCACTCGATGAAGACCAGAAGTATCGCAGTCGAAACGTCGCGATCAACATCAAAATTGACTTCATCGTGAGACAAACGAATAAAGTTCATCCATTGTACACCACGATGAACGATAAACACAAACTTTATTACAACCTAAAGATTGTTGCTACATCAGGTAACCTAGCGACCAATCAGTGAGCTTGCTGACGATATTCACCGGCAAACAGTTAGGTCTGGTCAATTACAAGGAAACAGATTCGAGCCCATAACCTTTTTTTTCTTTTTTTTTGAAGGACCCCATAGTTCAGTTTTAAGCCTAAACTACGTTTAATTTTTGTAAATGATCTTCCTGAGTCGCTTACTTGGGGTGATCCGGTTATAATTGCTGATTATCATAGATAAAATCTTCGCTGATGGCGCGAACACTAACAATATCATTTTGAAATCAGAATCTATGTTGGTGAATACTTGGTGCATGAGTGACAGGTTGATAGTCTACGAGCCTGAATCAGAAACTTAAGTGATATCACATCAAAACTTCGTTGACCTTTTCCACCTCCTGTAAACCTGTTACTCTAACTGAAATGAGGTTCACGTTAAACAATAATTAACGATGATTCCATCGCCGCCAGGCAATTTCTGTTCATGGAGGTTGAGGTGAAGCGCTTTTTTGGCCATAATAATGCGCTTTGACCTTTGATCTACTCGTTAGATCAGTCTTATTTCTAGGTACCATGTAATGGTTCAGGATGAATAACGTACTGGCCAAGTTGTCAAAAAGTCAAAATGTTACTTATCACTATGCATGCTTTGCTACTGATACTATCATTGGCGATGCTTATTTTCCGCTCGGAGAATTTACCGTTGGTTTGCTTGATTCTAATTTGTAATCACTTAAGTTTGTTGTAAATACGTACACTGATAACCAGTTGCACCCAAATAATCCGTTGCATACTCGGAAATAAAGATCAGTATTTGATAAACTAGGAAAAGACCCTTACACCGACACAAACAGGCTAAGATTAAACTTTTGCTGAAAAGCTACAACCCTTTATCCATTAACATTAGCAGGAATATTCTCCATACTGAAGAATTTTTCAACCTGCCAATAGCTTTTAGGGTTGGCGATCATTTCCTCTAGTCATGATCTTAGTAAATTATTAAGTGGTGTCACTATGAGAAGGACGAAGACGCTGGTCACTCTTAATAAGGATTTAAAGGTTCAGCAATACTTATCAGCATCGAAGAGAGAACTTTTTCTCGTGTTATTTTTTGGATCTTTTGAAAAATTCGGTAACCAGCAAACGAGATCAGAGGCTTTTCTGTTCACGTTCGTATTGGTGAAAGTGGTTCAAAATCTGCATGTTAATTATTGGTACTGAGAAAAGTAAAGTCAGTTAGAGAGACACAAAAGGAAGACAGAAATCGTTGGCGAATTGACTCACAATTTCGAGTGTTGATATAGTTGTAGATCTTTCTCATGTGGCGGGGAGTTACAAAGAAAAAAATTGATGGCATGATAGATTTCAATGTTTTTACGCAAATTTCACCTGGTGCGAGAGGGGAATAGAAGGGTGCGCAAGTAAGTCTGTTTTAAAACACTCCTTGTGAACTGGCCATCTTTCGACACAGTTTTACCACATTTCCACGTTGAGTGTTTCAGAGTAAATGAGTTGATTCTTATTTCAGCGTGAGCTGGTTTGTCGCATAAAGAATTGTAAAGGTTGATGAGTATCTGCACTTCATTAAGTAACAAACGCAACACTCCAATTAAACTTTGGCAATGTTCTTTAATCAAGCATTCTGCTCTGCTCATTTGAAAGAGATTTGGCATTGTGTAGTATATATATACCACGATCTAAAGCTTCATGACATATAGTGAATCAGATAATTTACTAAATAGCATTCCTTTGGATAATAAATAACTCGTACGCTTTTTCAACATTATCATGACCGCTTGGTCGGCAAAAAAAAATTACGTTTCTTTAGTATTTTCTCTCAAAAACTGAACGGAAGTTCTCAACAAATTACGATAAGCTTAAATATTCTATAATACAAGTCTTCCGAAAATATCAACTCCGTGTAAAAATATTTCGTACAAAATTAACGACACAAGTAGTATACAAAGCGTAACTTTGCAATAGAGCCTAGTGTAAGTGAGTCATTGAGGGCCATCCACATTGGACATGCAATCACGACTCCCCCCCCCTCCCCTCAAGTTAATTTTGACGTCCTATAATACAACAGTATAGTCGCAATATGGCTACTAAATGCTTTGCTTTGAAATATTTCTTTTTCTAGTTTTTTTCATTTCGAGGCTAACAATACTGTACAAAATAAGTTCGACTTGAAATAATAAATAATTCACTTAAATCTACAGAAAGAAACCTTCATCAATCTTGGACCTAAATACACAATTGATTATGAAACAGGAAAAAACAAACGTTTTGAATTTATGCAGAATTCTGGTCGAAGAATTTGACTAATAATAAGAACTAAAGTTAATCAAAGAGTCTCGATTCCACGTACAAACTTTGCAAGAACACAATTCGAATATGTCTATATCTATACATATATATAGCTTTTTTCTGCAATGAAAGGGTAACAAGGAATTGGGTAATCGAATCAAAAAATCAAACCGCATAAGGGAATTGCACAGAAGCATAGGAACACCACACAAAGGTCACCTTGAAATAAAGCGCGAATAGATTCTAGCTCACTGACACTGAATCAAGGTACTCAATGAAACTTTATATAGTTAATCTAAGGTGACTACTTCTATTCTCCGCCGGCCATATTCTGAAAACGGATCTCTACCAAAAAAGTTCATCAGGTTTCTTTCTTCGTAGTCGCTTACATAAACACAATCGTCCTTCATGACGTCTTGCTGAATTGAGTCTCGCAGCTGACGAGATTTTCGCACAAGATTCTGAAGTTGAAGTGTAGCCATTTCGGACAATTTCATTCGGATTTTGTTGAAGTCTGAACGGTAACCAGTCTCCAAAAACCTGAGAGAAGCAAACGTATAAGCCATTAGGAACAAGAACGAAAATTGCACAAAGAGGATAAGCTAAAAAGGCCAAGTTGTAACAGTGCCAGGCGGTAAGAAGCACAAGGTAACCCAGCCTAGCGGTGTGGGGCGGCAGTCTGAGAGGGAAACCACAAGTAAAGTGGCATTGTAGGCACAGATCTACTGAAAAGGGTAGAACTTATTGCTTAGTTAGCGCCAATCAATGATTGTGAACCGGCATAGGTGAACTAGTCACCTGTGTCACCTGTGCCACAGATCACCCATCAATACTTTTGAAGTTTTGGTACTTGTGACCAATATCCCACGCATTCCGAATGTTTTCATAAAGAACGAATCAGCCGAGGTACAAATTCCTAAAACGGCCTAAGTAACCAAAAGAATGTGCGCATGTTATCAGCGGAAGGTTTGGGGTTAACGACCGGACTCCAGAGCATTTTCGTATCGTTCACTCAAGATTCGCACGATCAAGAATTCTTAATTGATCGCCCATTCCAAAAACTAGAACAACTGTTAAGAATTTGTTACCTCTGAACCAGTCCAGACACGCAATCGGACGAGAAGTGTGAAGACGATAGGTCTGATGATAAACACGCCGGCCTCAAAGGTCTCATGACAAAATCTCCGAGAAGAGTGTGTAACCAGCTGTTGTCCTTAAACCACGCTACAACGATCTCTTTTCTTTCAAAGTACATCTTGAGACGGTTGAAATCCTCCATATTTCCTTTCTCCAGAAATTCCCTTAGGGAAAAGAATAGGTGTGAACATTTTGTAAACATCGAAATGTTTGAAAGGAAATAATTAAGGCGGAGTTGAAAAATTTGAAAAAAAAGCAAGTCTGATAAGCATTGCACCAAATTTACAAGGGATTGTTAAAACTTCTCTTGCTCTCTAACAATAAACGAAGCAAAATATTTTAATTGAGTTAAATAAGAGACACACTAGTCTGATTTCTGTAATAAAGAAGACAACAGGTAATTTTCCATCCGTCACCAATCTTTCCTATTTGTTATAGGAAAATAAAAAACTATAGTAGATGATACACAGACACTTCAAATACAAGTAACACGTTTTAATTCGCAAGAATTTGAAACACGATGGTGAGCACTACGAGGACGTGATCAGGAAAACACTTCAAATCCCGCTCTTAGTAATATCGAACTATCTAGATAAGAGCTTAATGCATTTTTTACCTTTTGATATTAAAGAATCGGAATTGAAAAAAGACGTTCTACTTGAATGGCAAAACTAAATAACGATTATGCGGGTGAGTATATTTAATCTGTGGGGAATGCGGCGCTTGTTCACCACACCATTCAGGTCAATAAATCCTTTCACATTCACATTTGACGCCGGGAGCGAACCTTGGGTATTAATTCCATAATTTGAATGCAAGGTATGAACGTCCGCTTGCGATGTTGGTCTTGTGGCTTTGTCATGCAGGTCTAATATCACTAATTATCGCTCGATTGTGGTCAGAAGTTAAAATATCAGGGATCATCAAAATACTCAAGTGATAGGCACTCGAGACGACGTTCGGTTGGGTTTGGTGATACTTGTTGTTTAGCACACGACTGAAAGCAAATACGTTCAAGTGACGAACTTATGAACTGCTCGTGCAATATGTGTGTTTGTTGAAACCAAAGAACTTCCGCAAAGACCACTGCTTGTATAACGTAACGATACTCTGTCATTGAATGGAATTAGTAACATAAAAAGCTACAATTAACATGTTAACATGGTTGCTTCTAAAAAACGACAACAAGTACTCCAGTAACATTTTCATCAAGCTATGCGGTCTCTTCACGTGTGAAGAGGTAAACAGCTGGGCTCTGTTGTCCAACTCTACCTAATGAACTGACCCACCGCCACGAAACAAAGAGCAGCGCTATAAGCGAAAAGCTATTGAGATGAAGTACTTACGTGCCTTGTGAATAAACATAAAAGAACACCTTCACTATATTTCAAGTGGCTCATTAATTAAAACAAAAACGACACAATCTCAATACTCTCCTCATCAGAACTATTTTAGAAACACCAACAATGTTTGTAGTGTTAATTACAGATTGCGGTAAAAATCACCAAAGGCATGCAGCCCCTAGTGAACGGACAAAGCTTTCATCGGCCGCCTCGAGGTTTTGCAATATAAGTGGACAGACAAACTACGCGAATGTATTTGGTGTCTGGATCATAATTGTTCAATTCATAATCCATGAGGGATGTCGTTACCGGGCAGAATGAACTAACTAATCTCTTTAAAAAATCTCAAGATTGCTCTCCAGCTGTACCAACAATACCATCAAATTATTTTTGATAATGGCAAATAACTAACGATTACTTGAAGTAAGCTGTGAGCACGGCATCCTTCAACGACCAATACCGCTCTTAGCCGAGGGCAATGTTTTGATGTATTTCACAAAACTAAAACAATTACACAGTAGCAGAAGCTCAAAGAGGAAAATAGACTCACTAAAAACAAGTGAACTCATGTCATATGAAATTTCCACAACGATCCTATCCATGTTCTTTTGACCACAAAGAATTAAAGAGACTACAATATTGGTATGAAACAGGCCAGACAAATATTTTCAATTTGTAACCGATGGGAGGTGTTTGGAATTGCAAAGATTATCACTGTTACTTATGAACATAATATCATTATTGATTAAGTTCGCTGTAGGACCTAGAGCTGTTATCTGGGTAACAAAGGGGACGTTCTACTACTGTCTATCAGTGAAAGTGATGTACATGGACAGCCAGCTGTATTCATATACTAGTGGTCTGATTTTCACAAACATCAAATACGCTTCATAGTGTTTGCAATAGATCTCTAAAATGTCAAATGAGAGCACTTCACTTGTTTTTGGTAGTCCCTACTTTATTTGATCCATTGCTTAAGAAGCTACAGAAATCCATGAAAAACCAATTAATAAGAAACTGCTGTAGGAGAATTCTATTTCACTGAAGCATAACAGCAGTAGAAAATGACCACAACATAGCAGAACTTCTCATCAAAGCAAAGAAACATTTAATGAAATTCCTTAATTGGGCTAACCTCTATAGTCCAATTTAAATTGGTAAAAAATAATAGTGCCACTTAAATAACAATGCAAGAAAAGGACCTGCCACAAAACTTTGCTGTTTGTGCCAACTGACTTTGCTTGTGGTAAACAAATACCCAAGAAAGCCAAACTGACTTAAATTAAGAAACTATGCCATTAGGAGTAATTTGTTTTAGCAAACAGCTAACACCGTCCATTTACAGTGGCCAATTTCCATTTTCTACTCATTTGATAAAACCAGATTATCTTATGGTACCCCCCCCTAGATGCAGTACCACAGTTTTTATAGAAACATACCCCCCCTTACTACAAGTTATGTTTTGTGTGTTAGTTTGCACCTTACCTGTAACACTTGTGGCGCCTCACCACAGAGGAGGGTCTGTGTTCCTTCCTGTAACCTGTGTCATTTTGGTTTTGCCACATCCATACTTCATGAAGTCTCTCCACATATGGCTTGGCTTTACTCATAAAATCATTCACAGTCAACTCTATTTCTTCTGCATGTTTTGCAAGCTGTGAAATATAGGTGAATTCAGTAAACATCCTCTTTTGTATGCACCAACTTTGCTAATGCACATACATGCATGCACAGATTGAAAAATGCAAGTTAAAAACCTCGAAGAAAATTAATTGACCAGAACTTGTCTAAATTGTGAATTATAATATCTCAGTTTAGCACAAATGTTGCTTGGTTTGGACAATGAGAGAATATGGATAGAACTTGTTTTTATTGATAATTGCATTTATCAGAGAGACCACTTCCCCGAGGAATACATTATGGCACTTTTTTCCTTTCACATCCAGAACAAAACAAAATCTCCACCTAAAGTAAAAATCCTTCAAAAGAGCAATCTGATCTGTAAAATACTGACACAAGATTTGTATGTTCAAAACATCAGTTACCTCACTGTTGACGTACTCCAGACAAGCTCTGTAATCTTCAGCAACCAATTCCCCTTGGCGCGGCACGCTTAGCTTGATGCTTTTGGTATCCAGCCAGTTCTTGAAGTAGCCACAGAATCCAGCATATGCCTCTACAGTCTGAAAACCACCTTTGAGGTGTCCATCTATATACATTGCTGTGATCTGAAGTACACAAAGAAAGACAGATGCAGCATAAGCAATACCAGCAAGTGCCACCATTCAAGGCACAAGAAACAATATCCAGTTTTTTCAGGGCAAGTAGATACACCGTCTGAGCAAGTGACTCTTTTTGCTCACTCACCCTTTGGTATTGAGTTTGTTTGTCCAACAATCAAATACATGTAGAAATAAATCAATAAAATGAAAGAAAATGTAACAAGTACATTTGTATTGTTGCTGAATTTATAATAATAGTGCAGGCAAAAGTAAAAGTTAAAATCTAAGATTTGTATACACCACCAATTGTAAAAAAATTGAAGGCTATGATTCCCTAATGTAACAAAAGAGGACTCCACTACCACTAAAAGTGAAGATTTCAAATATTATGCCTATGCCAACTTTTCCAACAGCACTGATTTTCTCTGTATCACCCCTTCTAATGGTAATACCTGATGTAACATGTAGCTGTGAGTTACCCTTGGCATGTGCTCTGTTAAGGCTTTAAGTGCCTTTCTATTTCCAGCATCCCTGTCCTCTAAAAATTGATACCATTTCTGTTGTCGTGAAGAATGCAAAGAAAGTTGAAAGTGTTCCTCAAGGGCTTGCCGATTTCTCAGACATCGCTTAAGAACATAAGTCTGCATTTGTCTGATTCCATCATGTTTACGAACAAAAAGTTTGTATAAGCTAGTCCATTCATAGTAATTAGAAGGAAAATCTTCTTGCATTGCTCTTTCTGCAAAAGAAAATAACAGAAATATACTAAAATTAACAAATGAACATGCTAATATCAAAACTGATTTGGTTAACGGCTATCACTGAGCAAAAACACTCTATAAAAACAAATTATAGCATATGTGCTTGTCTGCAAAAAAACCAGAAAACATGTTTTGCATTGCATGATTAAAGGAGTATTTAAGCTATGGATACCAGTCAACACATACTTAAACATCCTAGGATGTTATTGAGAGAGTCCACTTTTTTAACACAAGCTTTAATTTAAGTAGAAGTCTAGGAAGTAAGCAAAATTTACCTCTGTCTGTGTCATGGTAATTTGATTCAAGTTCCTCATCTGTTAATCCCCATATTGACTTGGCCTGGCTTGCAGTTAAATGGCTCACACTTTGTGAAGGAGGAACAGGATTCAACAGATACCAAACAATAACAGATGTTTTAAGTTGACTTACTGGTCTGAAAAAATTATGATCATTTTTAAGTACTTCAGCTTTGTAGAACATTTCGTAGAGGTAAATGAAAGTGTACTCTGGCCATCTTGTTCTGAGACCAAAATCCACCTGTAAAAGAAAATACCAAATTTTGAATGACATGAATGTTTGAGACAAATAAATTCTACTTTGGTACTTATGACATATTTATGTCTTCCAAGTGCATGTAATAAGAACAACCTACCAATAGAAGATTCTTAGGTGTGACAAAACCACCACTTGACAGATGTGATTTACTTTATAGAAGATAAAGGGGTTATTTAAACTTTATCAAAATTAAATATATTTAAGGGTTCTTCCATGGTTCTAGACAAAATCTACCTTAAATGGTTGACCACATCCTCCAGGCACAATTAACAAATAATTGAAAAGATTGCAATGAAGGCTCCACCAATATGGGTTGTCTACCATTGAAGTTAGCGCAAAATTTATTCCTTTAATATAAACAACATTTGCCCAAACATGAACAAATCAACTAGACTGACTGCACTTCAACTAACATAAGATAAGAAAATTGCACAGTTACCAATGTACCATTAGAATTCCAAAGAGCAACAACAGCAAAACAGCTTGATTGAAACAATCCATGCCTATTGTGATATACACAGATTTACACCCTTAAGCATATGTAATACCACATCTAAGCTCAGTTCCCTTGTGAAAACAATATCTTTCAAGTTTTACAAGTTTCATTTGTTTCATAAATTTGACTCTCAATTATTTTGATTGACAGCGCAAGGAAAAGTCTGCAATATCAAAGAAGAGCAGATCTTTTATGAGAAAAACAACTGTAGTTTATTTAGAACAAAGAACATGAAAACCCAAAACTATTTGAAATATCAGTGTAGTTATGCCCCAGATCCTGATACTGCTGGCAAGTTTCTTTAATTCATAATTCATATTTTTCCTTATAAATTCAACAACTCTCTTTGCACTATAATGCAAATTTGACTTTTGATAATATTTCAAATTCTCCTTTCACAAAATCCTAAACATCCATGAAGAGTTCTTTACTTGCCATGTTTATGTTTCCATAATAAATATGAGAGTATGAAATTTTTTATAATTCAGCTAGTATTATATTTTACTGTGATGAGCAGTGAGGTAAAACTACTTTCATTGTAGCAAAATTTTGTTGTGCTACTCAGTTCAAAGTTAACTTTGCTTTCCCAAGATTATTCTTACAAAAATTGGCAAGTTTCATCATGAGAAGTTTTATTATTAAAGTTCTTTGTATTTGTGATTTTTAAATCAATTTTTAAACCTTGAAATTCTATATCTTGAACAGCCGCAGAAAATTTAGCGCAGAGAGCTTTCCGTGCGAAAGTGGAGGTTGGGAAAAACCCTTAAAGGTAGAAAACGGTTCCACGAGGATCCTTTCTTTTCATTGCTCTTAAAAGACAGCTTACGAAGAGAGATTGCCTTTAAGATAAACATGAAAATTGCCTCCTTCCTTTTGAGGACAAAAAAATTATGTGTAATTAACAACAAGCAGGGAATTTGAAGAGAGAAAACATAGGTTCTATTTCGATGGCTAAACACGGTGCAGCTGCTATAGACCTGGCCAAAGAAACACAAAACAATTGATTCCGGTCGCGATAATATCGCGAAAATTTCCTTTCAAAAAGCCTCAATTTATTTATTCATGTCTTCTGTTGAAAAAAAGCTGTGCATATTTCAGCACTTGGATAAGCTCTTGTACCAAACAAAATCAACACCGTGTTTACGGAGGATGGTGAAAATCACCAAGCCCATGTCTCGGTAGCGAAGGCATATAGAGTTGAAAGGGGAAATGGGGGCACATTGTCACGTCCGTAAAATATGCCAAACGCGCCATAAACTATCACAAGAACAAAACTCTTCTCTCGCAGAATTCAACACAAGTCGTCTATTGAACACCAACCACTTGTATTCACTGAAATCGATCTCTTCATTACCATTTCAATAACCCACCATCATTACATGAAACGAGGCACGCCGACGAATAGAAACGCGAAACACCCTCTTTCCTCCCAACCCGGATACAGCAGGCGGTGAATAGGCTCGGCTGTTTTAGCCGTTCCATGAGTCTTCCTCGCGCCCTAATCAACAGATTCTATCGTACTTTCATCCCTTAGTCTTAAAAGAAAAATATCCAAAAGAAATAAAGCTCGAATTTCTTGGCAGCTTTCATATCTTGAATAATATATTAGATCTTCGTGAAGGCACTTGCCCTCTTCGTTACTCGAATGTTTTTAACGCACGAATTCTACGAAACCATCATTAACCTAGCGACAGATTGACAAAAACAGGATTATTCTGTATATAGCAATAACTACGTCGATAAGTTCAAAACACTCCGAGAGAAGAAAGAGCAAATTTCTGTCAGATACTCTGCCCGAACGGGTAAAACTACCGCATGGTATATGGATCGGAAATGGAAATGTAAAACATTTCGCTGCCTCCTCCGAGGCGGACAAAACAAAGGAGAGTAAGGAGAGCAAACCCAGCACCCTTATTTCATTCTTTCCCGCTGTATTTTACGCCGAAACTCTGTCAAAGAGTCCTAAAAATTTAGCGGGCTAACAAACATCATTAGTAAGATAACCGGGCGAAGAGAGCAACTCGTGGAACGAGAATTTCTAAAACTTCACGAGTTAGGGGTGGCGATCGGAAGAGTAAAGGAAATAAGCAGAACTACAGAGAAAATCGTAACCAAACGATGTAAGTATTAAAACAATGACTCGCTTCTTCGAAACTAACAAAGAAACTCAAAATACCACTAACTTACCCTACATCGATGACGCCATATGAGATCTGAGAGGCAGAGTCGATGAAAAAGTCGGCAAGTTTTGCCCAACATTACAAGACTCCTAAAGTCCAAATACTCCAAAATAAGCACAAGAACTTCTTCGCTTAAATGAGTCAACAACGATGGCGGTAAAATAATCCTAGACTCCATTTCCTCGGGTTGAAAAATCCTTGTGTTGGTTGATAATTTATGTTGAGGCGGTACGCAGTATGTAAGCCTCCCTGAGCTGGCGTTTCGGCAACTATGGGCGAATTTTTTCGCCTTTGGTGGACAAAGATTTGAGTCCAACATGCTTGATGGCATTCTATTCTCAACGGACCACACTTACGAAGGGACCCAAATGACTGCGGCCGACATAAAAGCTCTAGATAAATAGAAAAACATAAAGGATACCTCCCTGCTAATGACACAATATCTCTAAGACTAAGAAGGAAGCTTTGTTGTTTTTATATATTCTTTTGACACGTGCATTTCCCGTCGAATTACGCATGCTCACATAGGACATGACATCTTCCGAGCCAATCAGCGTGGCCGGCGCGTGTTTAGAATTCTTGGTAGTTGGGCTGGTGTTCGTAATAAAACATAATTATCACAGCTATCTCTTCGAAAGAGAAAATAGAACGCAAAAGCTAGCGGAACAACAGACTACAGCAAGCGGAACAGGGCACTACAGCGTGAAGAACCATTGACCTTTGAGGCGTGCTGATTCGCGTCACAATCTGCTTGTCGAATCGAGAAAGAACTCGACTTGAGAAGATTACTAGCCAGCAGGACCACATATCTGTGACATTCGCCCCGAAACATAATCCCTTTATAATTTATTTAATTTCCTTCGTTTCGAAACAGTCAATCACTGGTCATAGTTCGACGCAAGAATAGCTTAAAGAAGGAGATCAATTATTATTTGCTTTTTTTTTCTGTCGACTGAAACGGGTAGCTTTGGTGCCTCGGTTACATCGATGCAATGCTGTTACTGGTTGCGACGCAACCAAGTTCATACCCTGAGCCTCACTAACTAGTCATGTGCCTCATGGGCCAAATTTCTGTTTATTTGGTTAGTTACTCAACTGGATGCAAAGCAACGTGCATTTAACCTTGCTTTTCTCTTTTCGATATTTTGACGACTAAATGTCCTATAAATCAGAGGAGCAAAAAAGCACAGGGCTAAAGAACAAGGACACGGACTCCTGGCAAAATCTATCGATGACGTCAAACTACATATATCCGACTCCACGCAAATCTTTATTATAGGAAACATCGCAAACTGTCATGAGTGAGTCAGCCCACAAAACAAGAGAACACCACCAAGAAAAGGAAAGCTTGACCATATATTGAGTCAACTACAGAAAGCGAATGTAAATTACAATATCACCACCTTTCGCCTCAAGGCTCTTTTGAATTGAAAATTCTTCCAATATTCTTGACAAAAGTTCTAACCGCACTTGAAATGTTGCTCATTCAGCTAAAAGCTTGACAATACGCGCGCGCTAAGGCGAGTCGGATCGTGATCAGCGCGAACATTCAGCTTTAGCAAGGAAAAAATTTTCTTAGCAAACAGAAAATTGAATTCGTCTTTCATGATTCGCTCAAAAACACCTGAACCAATCAGGCAGCTGACGGGCCTTCCATTGTGGTTTTAGTCTTTGTTCAGCTAATAAATGAAAAGTGAAATTTTAATTACTTCCCTCGACGTTGTCACTCGTTATATTGGAACAGTGTTCGTGGAAATTTGCCTCGAGTTAGCTGACCGGCCAATGACAGATTGCATCAATTAGCTAAACCGGCCTGTTCGCCACCAAAACCGCCGAAATATACCACTGTCGAAGCACAGCCAATGAACCCCTCACGTGGTTTCCCTTTCCATCACGGTAGCAGCTGCGCCTACAGCCTTTCGCTTGAGCTTTTGTCACGAAAACGGGTACATAGCCGCCATTGAAAAGGGAAACATAGGGGAAATAATTTGCAAAATTAAATATGGTATTCTGTCGTGGGCTTGGCAGGGAACAAAGGCTTGATTATCATTGAAATGGGAGGCTTGGACCTTCAAACACAAACCCTCTTTCAGGGTGGCTAAGCCAAACATGCAAATGACGTTTCCAACTTGTCGCACGGCTGATAAACGAAAATACAAAAATTGCTTACAGCCGATACCTGTTCAAAACAACGCTAACTGCTGTGCAATTTTAGCAGATAAAGTGGCCGAGAATTTGCATCTCCAAAGGTCGTTAGTATTGTAAACACGGCTGTAATTGTGTTATACATCACTCAGCCCGGTAAGAGAAGTACAAGAGCAAACGCGGCACGTTCCATTAATATTTAACGCATTCACGTGACGTCATGCCATTTGATAAATGCGTAATGATGGCAGCTATTGAGATGACTAATGGCCGACCTTAGGGAGTCGACATTGGCAATGCGAGCACCAACTTATTGAGGCTTTCGTTGATACTGGTGTGCGCAGCTGCCAAACGGCTTCGCTAAAAACCTTTAGTATCGGCTGTCAAGCATGAAATTAAAAGGACCTTGTTTGGAGCTTGCTTCCCACTAAAGAAGGAAACCGGACTTCCAATGTTCAAAGTGGATTGTGTACTTCCAAAAAAAAAAATATTACAATTGGCTGCTACCAATTTTAAAACTGAAAAAGATAAAAAGCTTAGGAAGGCATATTCGTCAAGTTTCGCAACGTCGTTTTTAATATGAATAACCACATTTTTTTGAACAGAAAGAGAGAACCGCAAAGATAGCTTTTATTCTTACCCAACGCTTCAAGCCGAACAAAGCTTAAGCGTAAAGAAAAGATCTGAAAGGTTCTAAACTTCTGAGCAAATACGGTTCACTGTAAAATAAAACTATTTATCATGATTACCTTATTATAAACCGGCGAAGTGGTGAAGCCGGCAGCCGTTATGAAAACTGATGAAAACTCAATTATTTTTTTCTTAGCTTGGTCAACATTTCATTTTTTCGTCAGGTGAAAAGTGAAACAAAAAGATGACCTGATTGCAGTCTTTGGCTTTTCTAATCACTGAACCAGTGCCATGGAAACCCCAATCACCTGAGAAAGAACGACGAAAATGAAGTGCCTGAGGGGATTGTACAACCCTTCCCCACAAAACAGTCATCATTAGTGGTAAGTTGACACAAATATATTCATTGAAAACGCTCTTCTTTACAGCTTTATCTCAGTCAACAATTGCCGTAGCGTCAGCTACAGGATTCGGCTGCTACCACGTTACCGCGCGCGACTTCCGTTGACGGATTTAGTCGAGCGGTTAATCTCAAGAGAGTACCGCTAAAACGGAAACCTATTGACCACACCCCAACACAACAATTTCTTTACTATCGTCCTACCTAAATGAAACAGAAAATTTGCGCAAATGTTTAAAGTTGATACTTTTGATTCTTTGGAAACGGAGATTGAAATTCATGGCAACAGCTGACAAAAATTGTTCTTAATCCTCCGAGTTTGACGAACGCACGTGATTAAATAACATCTTCAAATCTAAAGTTTTGGAAATACTTTGCAATGAATATTGAGATCATATCCGATCTCATTAAACGTATGCCTTTAAGGTGGTTTTCTTATGAATCAAAATAAAATAATGTTCATAAGTCGCTGATTTCTAAAGATAACCATGAGTTCGACAGTCAGTGTGACAACCACAAACTGTCCAAAAGCGCGGTTCAATTTCCTGATCTCGGTGTAAAAAATTCGATGATCAACTTCGCTGTCGGTTGCGGACAAAAGCAGAAGACTAGAGACGCTCTCGTCGTTTACCATCCAGCTTTGTTTCTCTGTAAATTCTACCATTTCTAACAAATGCCTTACTCCCACACATAGGCTAAAACGGAAAATACTAACTTTTCTTTTCTTCTGTACTGGAGGTTTACCGTCAATTCGGAAGGAGAACACAATAAAAAAAACTGAAGATGTCTACATGATTTTTTTAACCGCAAAACCTTAAAACGATAAAAATAACAGCAAAACGAAAACAAAGCGAAATTTTTCAACAACTTAAACAGCCGTCTTATCGAGCTAACTCACCGAAAATAAACGCAACATTGAATCACGTTCATAGTACACCATGACTAAGTAAATTTGTATATGCTTGCCCTCGTCTCAAACCAAACTGTACCTTTGGGAAGAAAAAAAAAGGGTTTTCGCTCTCTTTGATTTCTTATTTAGGGTCGGGAGTTTCTAGTGAAATGATTTCTCTTTCATTTTGCGCAAATTTTTCTCTAATGTAGCAACGGGTTAACACGTGTCTAAAAGTAGTAAAACATCCGTTACGAAAACGGTAAGAGTAAACGATCGAAAACTTGGCTTGAAAGCGGTTCGATCAGGCACAAATGCCAAGTGAAGTCATCAGTCAGGTAATGGCAAGACCTTAAAAGAGGAAAAACGTCAGTCACAAAGAACCTTAACTTTATTTGGGTATATAGCCAACTTTACCTTATGATCAGCGTCTGAGAAATGAGTGAGCTGTTTTCCGGTTCTGAGAGTTTAATCTTATAATCGATACCGAAAGAAAATTACTCGTACAGGCATGAAAAAATGTTAATAGCCCATTTTTTTCTCGCCCGTTTTCAGTAAACAAGACCCTGCCATGCGAAATTGTCCTGCAACCGAAATATAGGAGTTTTCGGCCGACTGCGAACAAGTTTAGTAACATAGTACAAGTAATTAAGAAGCGTCATGCTACGGCCGAAGAAAACCGAAACCTAAGAATTTTTTCACCAAACGATTTTAAGCGGATTGATATGATCAAGAGTGCTACAGCTCTTGATCCCTCGACCTTTCCGCACCAAAACGGAAAACTAGGTGCGAATAGAAAAGAACTGATAAGTGCTAAAAACAGAACTGACAGACGACTTTAAAAGCTGAAACAGTATTCTACTGATCCATGTGATCTTTGCTATAGCTTCTCGTAACAACATAGTGATCAAATTTGTTATATTTATCTCTGTATATTAAAATATAACATATTAGATCTCTCCGTGAGCCGCGTGTTTCGCATTCTTTTGGTTTTGATAGCATGTCGCACCATTGATAATGACGTCGTGTTTTTCAGTTCCTCTTCAGCTGAGTGTAACATCGCCGTTTGTTCAAATTGTTGACATTTTACCGCCAATACATGGAGAGTGGGAAATGATATTTTCATCCATGATACCATGCTTGTATTTAAAGTCTTTGTCCTTTAGTGGATAACGCAAACATAACTGCACGTAGCTTAGTAGTAAATTCCATATCACAATATGATCACATGCCGGGAATCTTATTAAAAAGAAAGAAAACAAACAGCACGGAAAGATAATAGACCAAAAGCCATCATAGAAATAATACTAAGAAATCTTGGAGTGGAATCTGTCGAGGAATTTTGCGTTTCTGACGGAATAAAACAACTCCTTTGATCGTGACATGTAGTTCAACGATGGTTTTCTTGTTTGAAACTGTACGTGCGTGACGCTATGTAACTACGCCCCCAATATGCCCCCGCATACGCGTCATAACAACTTCCGGTATTTTTGTTATCTGTGGTTATTATTGTACAGCGGAATATCCTTGCTGCGACGTCATATAACATGGCGGACGAGAGAGGTTTGAAAATAAACAAAACTCACCACCGCAAAGTGCAAAGCTTATCGCTTAGTTCCTGCCCTGAAAAGCTTCGCATCCATCTACTAGAACGTAACGATCCGGCAGTTTTTGATGGCGCAGCAAGGCAGTGGGTATGTTGTAACTGGACACCAGAATTTCTGGCTCAGGAACTTCGCGATCTTCGAACAAGTTTTCGATTTTGTGCGAGACAGAACCCGTCTGTCAATGGAAATTCGTGTAAGAAAACCATTATGGAAACAGACTGTGAATTTGAGAAAGCAAGCTTTGACGAGTTTTGTCAATGGTTGAATGGCTGCACAGAAAGATCGGGATGTTTGTCTCGTTTTCAAAGGTAATAAAGACCAATTATGATAGATAATAACTTGTATCCTACTGCTAATATGGAAAAAGCGGGTGTGTCGCGCCATATTGTACACAGGTCCAATCTCAATCATGGCTGGCCATGGTCTTGACCTTGCCAATACAAACATAAACAAACAAATTATAATCCGGCACTCAAGAGAACAATAAACGTGCCACCAAAAATACGGCTTTAGGTTTGTGTATTGAGTCCTCTCTTGTTAATCGTTTTAATGATCGGTGAAATATTGACTGAGTGGGAGAGATCAACAACACCGCCAGCGAAAAGGAAATGGTTTTTAACCGCAGATGCAAATTAGCAACAAGAACCAAAGATATTGGTTGAAACGTTACAAGAGTGGACAGGTAGACGATAAGACGCCATGGAAGGGTCGAGTAAAAGTGTGTTTTGACCGTAGTCCTAATTCTATTGTTCCATTCACGTGAATCAAAGCCGGCAAGAATGAATTCTGCTCCGAACGTGATCGGTTTGGTTGTTATTTATATTTAATTCAGGACATGAACTTTAAGCATTCAAGTCAAAGCTTACCATGCTTACGACCGAAGCCGGTAAAATTTCCGTACAGCCCCATACTACATTATGCATTCAGTTCTTGAATAGAGAAAACAATGACAAAAACAATACATTGCCATTGGGAAAACAGATTTGTTTTACAATAGTATGGGGCTGTGCGGAAATTTTACCCCAAAGCCTAATGTTGCCAGATGGTTTTCATTGTTTTGTAATGCCTTAAATTTGCAAGAAAATATTTTCTTATTTCCACAATTCTGCTGGTTTAAGCCACCAGTGAGCTTATAGGTTACAGATAGGATATTGCATCATGCTATTGCGATATTAATGACAAGTAAACAGAACAGAAAAAAAACAAAAAACAACTGTAACAGCATAAAACCTAACAAGGATACCAGACACGATACATCAAGATACTTTCATTTTCAAATTACTCATTCAGTGAAGTTGTCCCTGCATTATTTTTCCTATTTTGTTCTCAAATTGCCACATTTATATTTCTTTCTTACAGCCTATGATGTCTTGAACAACAGATTAAAATCAGCATGAGCCCTCCCCTTTTCCTAATCTATGTTTTAGAATCATTTGACTAGCTCAAATATTTGCATTAAACAAACACATGTTGTGAGATGGATACTGACTCAGTCAAACATTCTTTTTACCTTTTATTAGAACAATAAATGACGCTATTTTTGTAACTGAAAATCAAATATGTTAACAGCATTTCTTGTCGATGAAATTTGACAACTTCTATATCCTAACTGATACCTAAGGAGCTAAGTAGAATAACTTATTCCAGGGTTTGGTTGTTAATTGCATCAAATCAGGGGAGTTCTTTGACAAGAGCAGTTGCTATCAGCACAGTAAATGCATCTAGTTTACTATGGTGGCTGTTCTTTGTCGTGTCCTTGTCTCTGGATGAATATTTAATTAATTTGGACCTATACATAGGAGTTATTGTCTGAGAGGTCCTACTCAAGTCACTCACTCTTAATTATGAAGTCTTAAGGCACTTGCCCTCCATGTTAGGCTTCAAAACAATGTGGCATAAAGCTGTGGTGTTTGGTGGAAATTCATACATGTTATTTTTTCCTTTCATCAACAAGTTTTCTTTTATCATTTAACCACTGGGATGATCTTGTTATCCTTGACTTTGCCTGCTCGGTTGATACATGAAAGGAAATTATAGCAAAAGATAGGCAGGCATATATCATTTAGAATTTATATTCTTCTCTCAGTCAAGTGGCAAACCCTGTATGGGAATCAAGTGTCACTTCATATTATTCATATTTTTAAGTAACTTTTAATATCCGTACATGAAAAACTATTTTGTAAAATAATAAAGGTGAAGTCTGTACCTGAGCCAAGTGGCCCATCCAACTGTAATTTATGATGGTTTGTGTAATAAATGAGAACTAGGAGTATTGCTATTCCTTGAATAGGATGCATGAATAACGCATGAATTGTAAAACCCTAAAGTAGTACCTAGTGGAAATTTATGTTAGTTTTGGTCACAAGAATGTGATCCCCCATTGGGTGCCAAAAAATATATTATGTACAAAATATACGGCATGATATACCCAGATATATTATATATATATATACCCTTTTTCAAAATTTTACAAAGTTTAAAATATATTTTGAATAAATATATATTTACTGTTCTATTCAAAAACTGTTTCTTTTTGATGAGAAAAGAAAAGGTACATATAAATTAAGTTTATTTTTAACTTTACAACATTTTTGAAAATATATATATTTGTTTCAGTTGTTTTTACAAATACACGATCAAGTCTGTACCTTTATTAGAAAACAAATTTGAATCAAATACAATGAATCATTAGGTGTGACAAGATACTGATGTAAAAGAGGCTTTGATTTTATTTTTGTTTACTTTTTAGACAAAACTATTGGTGCTATGCAGATTACAAATATATGGCTGAATTATTCAAAGATTTTCCTCATTTACGCAAGTCTGTTGACTGGAGCTGCTTTGGTTTTCCTGAGAGAAGTGGTGATGAATCAACAATATGGATTGGAAGTGCTGAAGCATCAACTCCATGTCATGTTGATACATATGGTTGTAATTTAGTTGCACAGATCTATGGGACAAAGAGATGGATTCTCTTTCCACCAAGTGAAACCTCCAACTTGTATCCAACCAGAATTCCTTATGAGGAATCCAGTGTGTTTAGTCAAGTTAACATCACCAATCCAGATTTAACAAGGTTTCCAGCCTTTGAAAATGTTCTTCAATATGAGGTGTTTGCCTTTTTTACAGTAAATGTTCTTAAAGCCTCCCTAAAAAGTGCCCCCCCCCCTCCCCTCCTTTATCTAGAACTAGCTCCTTTAAACAAAAACTTTCATTTGTAGTTTGTTGTTCTTCTGTCTGGGCTAATTACTGTTGAACCTGTATTAACTCTTGAACTCCTAGAAGTGATTAACATGAAACTTCTTCCCATGATATTCATACATTATCCAGCAAACAGATAACAAGAGCACTCAAATGTATCAGGTAGAAATTTTTATCCTGATCTGACACAAAATTCTCATCACTAATTTACAAGGAAATGTGTAGAAGCTAGATGGGAGAATTTGCAATCAGAACTTGTGAGTTAAAGGGTTAAGTGGCACTGTATTAAACAGTTACCCAGTATAAGGGGGTCGGTTGTCTAAGTCCTGAATTTGAACAATTGAGCCCCCCTCAAATCTCCCACTTAGCTCTGGTTTGGCTTATGTTACATTCAACAACACCGTATTGTTGTAAGTGGAGAAAAATGCTGTGGCTTATAATGTAAGAGGAGGGGGAGGGTGGTGACAACTCACATATCTAAGAGATGGGAGAGCTTGTTTTCACAGAGTCATTGTCAGCCTCTTTGTTTGATATACATCCCATTTGAGTCCAATGTCTGTACAATACAAAGTGCTAAGGAAAAGTAGAGGCTGCTGGTGTCAGAGTTAATAAAGTTATTTTCCCTTGTAGATAATTCTTAAACCTGGTGATGTTCTGTTTGTGCCTAAGAAGTGGTGGCATTATGTGGAATCATTAGAAACATCAATAAGCATCAACACTTGGATTGAACTGGTGTGTATGAACAATACAGGTTATTTTACTCTGATCCATTCATGTACATTTATACTACTCCCTGGTTTCTTTATCTAAATGCCATCATAATAGTGATGGTTCATAAGTGGAAATGTTTATACCATTTGAAGCTTTCTCAAACTGTGCAATATTATGGGAAAAGTTGTATTAGCCTTCAGTTGGGTAATTAACTTTGAGTGATGCTAGATATGATTGATTTTCAACATATAGTATTTGAATGCCATTATGATATGTTATTTGATGTCAATTTTTTTCATGTGTTGCTGTGAATGATAGATGAAGTTTTACCTTTTTGAATTTTGACTAAATGACTGTAAACTGTCATCACTTTATAACTTAAAGATACATACATTTTTAGTGATCCAACTGTAATCAAATGTTTATTTTCAAACAAATTTGCAAATGAAAATCAGGCATCCAACATACATGAGTTCTCCCCACAGAAAGTCTGAATTTTCTTATTTACCAAAGTTATATAAGATATGTGATCACAAAGTTGTAAATAATAACAATATTGTTAATCACCTCTTTTTTAATGTTTTTTTTTATTTTTTATGTAACAAGGAAAGTGATCACTTGGAGAGAGTCAAAGAGGCACTTATCAGAACTCTGGTGGGTGGAGAATTGTTTGTATAAATGTATTCTGCCATAATGCATATCTAGAAGTTCAAGTGTTTTATATTCTAGACTTATTTTGTTGCTCTCTAAGTATTGTTGCTAAGAATAATTATTGCATGTTTAAAACTAAGCAACCCTTGATAATGGCAACACCTTGGGTGCCTAACCAAGGAGAGGGGCTTATTTAGTTTTGTCATTGTGGTCAGGTGCTTAATTGAGGGGAAGGGCTATTTCAAGGGTTTGCAGTGTAAGGATACTGGAACAAATCTGAATTGCAAATTGTTAAATCACCAACTACATGAAAATGATAGTCCCCCCCTGAACTGTAATAGTAGAATGAATTTAGTGGAAAAAAGAGAAAATATACTCCTTACAGTGCGATTTTGTTTTTTGTTTTTTAAGAAACATGTTTATGGATTTACCTTAAACCCTTGATTTGTTCAACAATATTGTGATTTGAAGAAATGACTATCAAAAAGAATTATTGTTGTACAGGGTTATGTTTGATAATCCAGGAGTAAAGTGCCTTTTAAACTTAAAATAGCCTCTTTTATTCATTGTTTCAAGGTGTCTGCCTTAAAGAAGGAGGAGGGAGCAGCTGAAGTAACATGGCTGAACCCATCAGAGGTGACTATGACTTCTGTGTTATCTCAAAATTCAAATAATTTCTATGCATTTATCTTGATGTCTTATGGGGAATTGTGCACATTATGTGATCAAATTGTGTACTCAATATAGGCAGCAAAATTAACATATGGTTTTGTGTGAGCTCTGACTAATTATTAAACATCAGTGCAAGCAACAGTGGCCATTGGATTAGACTTGAAATTTATGTTGCTGTTCTTGTCTAAACATGAAATGAACTACACTCACTGCATGCAAACATAATCATTAAAAAGTGAAAATCAGACCTTTCTGTGCACTTGTCTAGAAGTGAGATTTGCATTCATGCATTGAGTTCTTTGCTTTCCAGGAAATTGGAACACATGCACAAAACATGAGTTACTTGTATCAAGCATTGTGTGCAATGAAACAGAGGACAAGCTGTGATGTCAACACATCTTACTCGGATGGAACACAACCTAGATACTCTGATCAAAATAAAAGTGATATACTTTCTACGGATGATCTCATAAACTGCATGACATCCCCTGAGGTTATCAATGCAATGATGTCTCAAGCTCTCAAAAAATTTGGAATTTGCCAAACAATTAACTTGCCCTTGAAGTCTCCAAGTGTAGAACAGCAGAAATTGAAGACCACACAGACAGTCAAAATGGAGAGAAACTCGAATTGCAATTCTAGTTCTTGCAGTTATGTACTTGATGAAACAGTGAGATCTGAAAATATTGGTTCAGGGTTTTCTCAGCCATCCACTGAACAGGAAATTTCAGAGCATCCCCCACTGAAAAGAAACTGTACTGACAAGGAAAGAAATTAGACAAGTACTTAATGTCACACAAAGGATGATACCCAGCATGAACACGCCCCCAAATGGGGATGAAAATGTTGTCATTGGGAGAAAGTACTTCCATCCACGGGGCGAATTCATGGGATGATAACAAGCCCTGAAAAGTTATAGCATGAGAGGTAGAATTTAATCCAAGCTGACAACCAATTTCTGTTTGCAGTTAAATTAAAAGAAGTGATGAATTCATTCTTTCCTTGAACTTCTTTGCACAAAACAGAGCAGTTACAGAGTTTTAAAATTTCAAAAAATTTAATATTTAGTTAGTATACAGGCTCTCGTTGATTAATAGATATTTAAATAACAGTACATAGGCATAGCAGTGAAGATTTCCTCTTTTTGATAAATGTTTTTGTAGTAAGTAGTAGGAGAAGTTTTCAAGATGTAAAAAGCCTAATCTTGATGCGCAAAGTGGTGGACGAATTGTTGAGAGTTATGCAAACCCTCGCCTGTATGGGGGGTTTTCGTATTTTTCATTTTCAGACGAGGCCCTACGAAGGTTAGAATTCTACTGGGGTGCGAGAGATACTAACGTGACAATCCATCAAAAGAGAATCCTGACAGTGCACGAGATACCAACGTAACATACCATCAAAAGATAAGGCCAACAGTGCGCGAAATATGTACATCTTATTATGCCTTGACGTTCTGGTGTGTAGTATCGCTGAGTATTGTTGTCGGTTTAACAAGCCGACTGGTTAAACATGTGTTATTCAGTACAAAATAACCAACTGTCCAAATAACCGTGCAATATCGCAGGATATTTGTACTCTACCTAGTGCAGCTGAATAATAATGACGAAGCATTCCATCAAAATAAAATCCTATCGGTGCTCAAGATACTAGCGTAACAATCCCTCAAACGAGAAGGCTGACAGTGCTCAAGATACGAACATAACGTTGAATCCATTAAACAAGATGGATAACAGTGAGCGAGATACAAACATAACAACACATCAAAAAAGAATGCTAGCAGTGCGCGAAATACTGACGAAACATTCCATTAAAAGAAAAATCCCAACGGTTTGCGAAAAACCTACGTAACAATCCCTCAAAAGAGAATGCTAACAGTGCTCAAGATGCTAGCGTATCACCGAACGCATCAAAGGTTAAATAAGGGTGTGCGAGATACTCACGTAAAAGTCACTCAAAAGAGAATCCTAGAACAGTGCACGAGATACTAACGTAACAATCCATCAAAAGAGAATCCTAAAACAGTACGAGACACTAACGTAACAATCCATCAAAATAGAATCCTAAAACAGTGCGAGACACTAACGTAACAATCCATCAAAAAAGAATCCTAAAACAGTGCGAGATACTAACGTAACAATCCATCAAAAGAGAACCCTAAAACAGTGCGAGATACTAACGTAACAATCCATCAAAAGAGAATCCTAAAACAGTGCGAGATACTAACGTAACAATCCATCAAAAGAGAATCCTAAAACAGTACGCGAGATACTAACGTAACAATCCATCAAAAGAGAATCCTAAAACAGTGCGAGATACTAACGTAACAATCCATCAAAAGAGAATCCTAAAACAGTGCGAGATACTAACGTAACAATCCGTCAAAAAAGAATCCTAAAACAGTGCGAGACACTAACGTAACAATCCATCAAAAGAGAATCCTAAAACAGTGCGAGATACTAACGTAACAATCCATCAAAAGAGAATCCTAAAACAGTGCGAGATACTAACGTAACAATCCATCAAAAGAAAATCCTAAAACAGCGCGAGATACTAACGTAACAATCCATCAAAAGAAAATCCTAAAACAGTGCGAGATACTAACGCAACAGTCCA